TTTTTTTTTTTTTTACAATTTTTTTTTTTTACTGTTCTATCAGTTCTTTTTTCTTTTTCCCCCTTCGCCCCCCTTTCTTCTTCCTTTTCATACTTGTTGTGGACTCCGCACCTGTAACTGCACTGTTCCTGACAGTTTTCATTTGATTTTAAAATTTTGTATCTTTCTGAAAATCCTGGTCCCTTTCGCGCATTGTTGACGCGAAGCACTAGCTGCTTTTTTTTTTTCCTTCTAAGCACTGCTGGTTGTTGTTAGACCCACATACACGCCGCCTCGCTGGTGGATCAGAACCATTGACTGTTGACAACGTGCGGATAAAAAGAAGTTCCCACACAACTCGATTTTCCTGGTGGGTGACCGTGGGGAATTCACGATTAAGCATCTCGACCTCATCCTGACTTCTTTTCTGCAGTGGAGTCGCACTTGTTCCTGTACGCCCCCATCATCGACTGCAAGGATCCTTGAGCGTTTGCTGGTTGAGGAATTGATTGTCCGATCGAATTTACCCTCCCGACGTCTCCATATTCCCGTCCTATCACCGCGTTAAGTGGAGGATTCATTCCGCCGGAAGAGGAAAAGCAAAAGAAAAAGTCTCAGTGAGGATAGAGAAAAGACCTTCAGGAGGAAAAACTCTGCAGAAAGTGATCCGTTTCTCGTTTGCAGTCGGAATTGGCAGTCGAGAGCACACGTATCACGCTTGCCTGTTCGTCAGAAGACCAGCCGGCGAAAAGGTTTTTCTCGTTCTTCAATCGATGATCGGGATACCGTGAACTCTACCTCCAGTCCAACCCTTTTCTTCCCCTCCATCTGATATCCTCTCCGCTTCATGATGGATCCCAGATCTCATCCGTCGCGGCCCCCATCCACCAGCTTACCCCAAGGCTCCACGCCTCTCCCGACTACTATGAGTATGCCAATGCCTCAGTACACGATGCAGCCTCAGTACCCCGTGTCCCAGCCTCATACTCTCCCCCCGCTGCAGCCTCATCACAGTCAATCTCCTGCCCCTCACTCCTACATGGGCCAGCCGCCGTACAGGCCGGATTTGTCGAGGTTTCCCACCTCTACTCACGATGTGTACGCGTCGTCGACCGCTCCTATCATGCCTCACACCACCGTGGGTAGCCTGCCTCCATCTTCGTTCCTCTCCCACCCCAATCCGCAGGCGCAGCCCCAGCCTTCGCAATATCCTCCACCTCACAGCGTGCTGCCTCCTGCCTCGAGCGCGCAGACATATCCGCAGCCGATCGCGCCGGCACCCCCGCGGGACCGGCGGCCGGACTATTCTGGCATGCCTTCCGGTGCTTTCAGCTACTCCGATGGCAAGGGTTCTCCCTGGATGAACCCGGATCCTGTTGCGGGCGCAAACGGTGCCTCGCCCTACGGTGCAAAGGAGCCCCCTCGCACCCAGGTGGTTGGCTCTCAAGGCCGACGCGGAATCCTCCCGAGCGTCCCGGGACGCGCCACGCCAGTCACCAACGGTGTCAATGGTACAGCGAAGAACACCACAATCCCGGCCAAGGATGCCGATGGAAAATTCCCTTGCCCGCACTGCAACAAGACCTATCTCCACGCCAAACATTTGAAGCGCCATTTGCTCAGACGTGAGTTTCCCGGTCCCTATCTCGGAGTTGACGTGAAGTGCGCCGATAGTTCTTAATTTCGCTGACAAAACTTTGCTTTTTCGCGCAGATACCGGTGACCGCCCATACATGTGTGTTCTGTGCAAGGACACTTTCTCCCGTAGTGATATTCTGAAGCGCCACTTCCAGAAGTGTTCGTTGCGACGCGGTAACCCGACGGGAGCGACCCACTTGTCGCATCCCCAGGCACATTTGAAGAGGTCTCAAGCTGCGAATCCTGCTAAACCGGTTCAGGATGAAGTCAGTAGTACCGTCCCTCCTGCCACTGCCCTTCCGGGTACGGCTTACGGCGAGGGGGCCGTGAACGGTAACGGGCTGGCTTCAGGCCGACCTGGGTTCACGGATCAGCAGCCTCTGGGCTTTTCGATGTCGTCGGTCAATGGGATGAACCGTGGTCAACCGGACGACGCGTTCCCCGCTGGTCAGCCACATCAGAGAGGCCCCTGGCTGGCGGCTCCCAAGCAGAACCCGTATCTGGCGCAACCTGGCCCTGATGTATCTCAGCAGCTGAGTGTTGACCGTCCTTCCTATGAACAGGTAAAACCCCCGGTGGTCCAAGACCCTAAGCGCCCAGTAATGCCTGGGCCCACTCCCAATCACACTGGCGAAATTGACTGGACTTCGATGTTTCAGCCCGGAGCGAATGATGGTTACATCAACCCCGTTTTCCCCCAATCCATGGCGTCTGGCCAGGAGCCGATCCATGCTCACGTCGATACCGAACGGAAATTCTATCCTACCACGACCGGTGGTCCCCAAGAAGGTGGCATGAATGGTCTTTACTTGGCTTCGACCACTTTGGCCGGTGATGGTAAGTCACATGAATCCTAAATATGATCTTCCGGGTCGATCAGGACGTCTTTGGCTTACACAACGACCCTAGGTACCGTTCAGCCCGCGAGGCAATAATGGGCGAAATGAAACGAATGCGTGACGGTCGACTGCGTTGTTGATTTCGGACATTGTTCGTGCAAATCACGATGGAGCTTTGTATAGTCAAACTTTTTTTTGGTCGGAAAAACTACTAGGCTTCTGAACTATTTCAATGAGTCTAGCTTGCTGAACATAGGCGCCTCGATTGTTCTAATAGGGATCTACGAGTCACTATATGAAATCTGCGTCGTTTCACCGTTTCGGCCTCGGCTGTGCAGGTGCGCTTTGACTGCAATATCGCCGCGACCGAGAATTAAGTACTATCTGAAGAGTGTGGGCTTTGTCGCAAACGTCCAGCGTTGCTCACCCGATCGCCTTCGACTTCCATAACAATTTTTATCTTATCTTTACGAAAAAAGGTCACCTGTGTCTGGTTGTTGGGTTTCAAAATTGTGTCAGCATTTTTATACGGCGAGTGCAATCCTGTGGTGGTCCTGGTTCAGTTTTGTTTCTTTCCATCCATTATGAGTGGGCAGATGGGATGGAGTGTGGCTTTTATCCGGCGTCCGACAAATAGACCTGGGCATGTGTTTTCTTGCGTTTGTGTTCCTGTTCAGCTTTGCATCATTTTCTTGCAATGTGCCCCAAAAGATTTCGTGTGGGATGGCCTCTGTCGACTCTTCGTTGCGATTCGCATTGTGTCCTGTTTCATTACTGGTCGACCCCCGAGCAGCCGTGTTCGGGTTTGTTCTGCATAGACCTCTCAACCGTTCTGATTCGATTCGCATGTCGTTCCCCCGACCAACCGTGTAAGTACATTCGAGGTGTTCTGCTCGGACATATGAACTTGAGCTGGACTGAGGTGTTTTTGTTCATCTATGTTGAGTTTCTTTTTTTTTTTCTGTCTTTTTACTGTGTTCTGGTGTTGTCATTTTGTGTCTGCTATCGTCCATCTCTGCTCGAATTGTGTGAAAAGGTAGCCATCTGTTTCTTCATACGTGTCGCGGCTGGGTTGCCCGGCGGGACATTGGCAAAGGCTCCTACGCCTCCTACAGTGTTGGAGAGCCTGGTCGGTGAGCGTTTGTCGATGTGCGTTGGGGCATGCCCCTGGTCAGCCCCCCATGATGTGTTATACGTGGGTTGTCTTGCTTGTGTCTATTTGGTTGCATTGTGTCTCGTTTCCTTTTCTCTGGCGGGGGTTTAGGGCAGGTCCTGGGTTGGGAGCGAGGCCACTCGTCTCTGTCGGCCAGGCTGGATGGAGAAAACATTTGGGTGGAATTACAGAAAAAGCGCCAAGGGAATCCAAAATTAGAATATAGACTCCGATCGGATTAGATTCTCGAAGCCAAAAGGGATAATGAGGGAATTAAAAAAGAATGAAAATACAGATCAACTCAAATTTGTTCCAATGGACGCGTTTGATCATCACCATCATCAGAATAATCAGAGTAATAACAATCCGAGTAATATCTGGATAAGGGGACCATCATACCACCCGGGTACTACTACTGACGACTGGCTCGTCGTAGTATTCCGCGAGGTCGTCACTGGATCCCGTGATGAAGGCTTGATAAAGGATGCGCTTCCCGGTCCAGTGACTTCAAGACCCATTTGCCCGGATGGCAGTGGAACCCGAGAATACCCTATGGATAACACTAGGAGTTCCAGACTACGGAGGGATGCATTGTCAGATGCCCACCAAGTCAACCCCACGTTTCTTCTGAACTTCCCCTCCGCGGCACAGTGAATTTGGAGTCTCCGATTCGTACGAAAAGGGGGTTTGTGCTGATTCCAGTGACTAATGATTACGACGGTCTGAGGAGTCAACTAATCTACGAACTTACTATCTGTATGCCATACAGCAGTGAAGCAGCAGAAAAGCCAAAAACCGGAAAACAAGAGAAGAGCAAGACGTCACCACTGAGTTTCTTTATATGCGTCTCCACTGATTGGCTCCCCGACCACGGGATGCCTCGGAGAAATCGATTGGATTGAATCCGTGCCTCAAAGTTTGGCATCCTATTTTCTTTCGTCCTCCTCCTTCTCAAATCCCTCGCCGCCGACTCGCCGATCGTCATCGCGCTACTATCCACCGTGCTTGTGTCCCAGGGGTACTTGAGTGTTATGTTCGTCTCAGTTGGGATCTTGACCGTTACTTAGTGACCCCTCGCCGGTATTCGGATGATTGCCGCTAACGCTTTCCCTTGTGCCGACCTCCACTCACGTCCTATCTATATCTCGAGGGGCCCTGTCGTTGCCGCGGGGAACCCTTCTTGGCTCCAGATACAAATACAACTGCACTCGACGTTCGTGGTCAATCTGACTGCGACACCATTGCCCAACCTCTGATTCATGCTATAACGATCTGCTCCGTAAGACTGGTCTTCGTCACGATGTCCACCAACCGTCCATTCCTGGCCAACTTTTTGGCGGCGTTCCGCGCCCAGTCAACGTATAAGGCCGCGGCCGCTGGTTCTCAGTCGGCCACAGCCACCTCCTCGTCTCTCTCGCCGACTCAGATATCACAAAGTGCCCGCGCGATAGCAACCAAGGCAAGCAACTCAGGGGCATCCTCCGAGGCCGCCTCGACGACTCATTATCATCATCATCATCATCACCACTCATCTTCAGCCGCCGCTTCCCACTCCCGACCCCACTCACATACCCGATCCCCACTGAATCAATCGTCTCCCGCCGGGGACTCCCCGGTGCCCTCGTCCGCCGCCACTCCTCCCGCTCCCTCGTCCCCGCCAACCCCGGCTTCATCCAACCCTATTCCGATTGCCAATGGGCCGGACCGCCAACGACGCGGGAGCGACAGCTCCAACGGATCGGGCGGGTTCCGAGACGCTCTCGGGCCGGAGAAGTGGTACATTGGCGGGAGGACGCCCGGCGGAGAGGAGCGTTTCTATCGATTAGGGATGGTGACGAAGGGCGGCGGCCGATTAGGTGGGAGCGGTCGAGTGGGAAGTATCGACCAGCTGAGCTTGTGATTGATCTCTCTTTAGCCTCCTTTTTTCGTATACAGATATTGGAACGACGTCTACGGTATCAAAATGTTTGCTTGGCGTTCGGTTTGCACATGAACGGCGTTTGGGTTTTGGATGGGCTGGAAACTGAAAACGTCTTACCCGGGGATCTTCACTTTTTTTTTTTTTCTTCTCTCCTTTGTCTTTCTCGGGTTGGACTATATGATGATATACTTTGGACTAACGTGTACATGAAGTCTTGGGATTTGACCTTCAACCTTGTGCGATGTCCGGTTGAGGATGGACCAGTGTTTTATACGATAAAATGTCGAGGATTAGAATGTGGATTAACTGATTTGTTTCCTGCGCCAAGGGGGGGATTGGTACTTCTTATATTACGCTCTTGAACTTGTTTTACCATTAATTCGATACATACCTCCTACCGAGAGCTCTTCCCTGCCAATCCCACACATCGCATGCGCCATCACCTTTCAAACACAATAGTGATCCCAGAACAGGCGATGGTAGAACTATTCAACAACCACTACGTCAGGTACAACCCCGTAAGACAATAAAACACATATACCAACACCTAGAAGGGAATCTGCTGTCTCTAATGCACCTCCCATTCGCGGCAACGAATTGATCTGAACCCTCCTCACCACCCTTCACAAAGTAGAAGTTAACATAGTGCATCCCTATCATCCACCAGGCCCGATAAACCTCACCGCCCCATCAACATGATAATCAATGGATAACCAATTCCCTCTATCCAAGAAACCAAATCCCCTCCTCCACACCCAGTTAACCGCCTCCAACTCTCCCTCCACCTCACTCTTCGTTAAACCTGGATTCCGCACGGCACAGAGAATACAACTCTCCATATAGCCAGGAACCCCGCCAACTTCAATTCCCCCAATTCTACCCGGACCGTTGATTCAACCACCCCCCCCCCTAACCAGCGAGGGATATACATCGAACTGAGTCGATGACTCGCGCCGCTTATTCTCGGCAAGTCTGGCAGAGTCCTCCGTAATTGGCCATTCATCCACTCCCAGTTCCACAACTGCTACATTCAAAGTCCAAGTTCCTGTAGGTGGTAGGTTGGGTTTTGGGGTGGTGGTTGTATGTGATGTAGGATGGGTATTGTTGGATGGATTGTTTACCCTTGTTTTCTGGGATGGGGAAGTATGGGAGTATGTATGGTGTTTGGTTGGCTTTAGATTGAAAGGTTGTTGCAATTGGGCATTGGGCTTGCATCATACAAAGGTGATGTACTAGTTTAATGTTAAGTGTATATATAGACGGACTGCATCGATAGAAGATTCACTCTTGGTTTTGTGTAGAGGATTCATTTTGGGGTCTGTGGATAGATCTCTCTCTCTAGGGTTTCTTTTGGAGGTTTACCGTGTTAGTAGTATTAAAGAAGAGTATTGTATATGTTTTGTCGATGTGTTGAGTGTATGTGCAACATAACATATGCTGTATAGATTAGGAGATAGGGTATCGTTCAGACTCACTCCTCTTGCAAGTCTTGAAGGTGCTACCTATCCATACTGGACCCTGTAGTATACCAACTTGAATTTTAGTATCTAGGTCATTCTACGGAGTACAACCCAAGAGCTAAAATCCCCAAGTACATACCATGCATATAATACAAAGTATTAATACCCCCAAACCAAGAAGAAGAGAAACCCTACGAATCCTCTCCACTTACCAATCTCTCCCTCTCCTCCTCATCTCCCCTCACCTTCTCACCCCCATCACTCAGCCACAACATCGGAATAGCAGTCAGTCCGGCCAATAAGGCCAACGTCCAGGACATATTCTTCCACCCGAACCGATACTCAATAAACCCACCCCAGAGCGGGCCCACAAAGAGTCCCAGAAACTGTGCCATGGTTTGCACACCGAACGCCTGCGCCACGGCACCCTTCTTGCCGAACATGCCGGGTCGCTCGCGCTCCATGTCCTCGAGGACTTGCTGGGTTTCGACATAGAGGGCGGGCACGCACAGGTTCATAAGGAGCCCGATGAAGGTGAGGAGGGTGATGAGGAGGACAATGTGGGAGGTTGTGTTGGATTCGACGAAACGGAGGCAGACAAGGGGGATGGAGAGGAAGAGGAATCCGGTTAGGGTCACCTTGCGGGCACCGTAGCGGTCGGAAAGGTAGCCTTGGGGACGATTAGCAAGGGCCGGTGGCTTCTTCAATTCTTGGGTTGGGTCTTACCGAAGTAGGGCTCGAAAAGCGCGGTAACGGCCGAGGGGAGGAATGATAATCCTGCGCCTAGTGGTCCCCAGTGGAATCGGGTTTCGACGAATACAGGGATTGTCTGTGGTGCGGAGGCCATGTTAGTATTTATTGGAGGCGCTTGGATCTGAGAAAGAAGCATAACGTACTGCATCGAATGCGGAATATAAGAGCCCATGGACTAGGAGAGCCCATGACGAAATCATGACCCGCGGCTGGCGGATAATGAGGAACAAGGCTGGTTTCTTCGACTTGGGTGACTCGGAATCCGATGGTTCTGATGCGTCGCCGAAGGTGTTATATCCCCTGGCGTGGGGGCTTGACGAGCTCGTCTCCGAGTCCTCGGGGAGCCACTGACGGGCAACCTTCTTCTCGATGACCGCGACCCGCAGGAGCAAGTCCACGCCGACAATCGCAAACGCCATCGTGAACACCGCTTGGTATCCCGATTTCTCGTAGAGGACCCCGCCCAGCAACGGACCAAGTAGGAACCCCAGCGCAACAGAGGAGCCTAGGTAGCCGATCACCTGGCCGAGATTATCGAACGAAACGGAGTCTGTCAAAAGCGCGAGACCTGCGACGGCGACCATGGCCGTCGCACCGCCTTGCAGCAATCTGGCGACGATGAACAAGCCAACTGTACGCGCAATTGAAAGAATGATCATGGATGCGCCGAGGAGGATGAGCCCGAGTAGGTAAGGGAGTTGGCGGGTGGGCGAGACGTCAACGATGTAACCGAAAATCGGGCAACAAAGGCATGCGACGGCCGCTTCGCACATGAGTAGAACGCTGACCCAGTACTCGCCTGTTGGAGAAGTCAATGAGGGGATTGTAGAGATATGAGATTAAAAAGATGCACGAACGGTCTTGGTATGGGACGCCGGCGCGATCAACCAGGGCTGTTGGCATGACGGGGACAATCTGTCGCTGCAGTGAGTAGGTGCATTGTGAAAATACGCGCAATTCGGTCGAAGTCCTCGCTCACCATGGCATATAGATAGTAGTCCTTGCATGTCGTTAGCTATGCTTTCTGCGCAATTCAAAGGCGCAGCCACTCACCGTGAACAATGAGGTCCATACTGTTGCGACAATGAACACCGTCGATGAGCGATATCGTAAAAGCCAAGGAGGGCGTTTACACCCTCCGGGAATCAGAGATGTCATTTTGTGGATGCCGAAGGTGTCCCTGGTGGATGTTCGGGAGTGACGTTCCAACAATCTCGGGGGTGGAGAAAGAGAAGAGGCTGCGACTCTTTTTTTTTTTTTTTTTCTCTTCAATGTTTTCTCATCCCCGCAGCGTTGTTCCAACCCTCTTCTGGACCCCGACACAATAGTGAATCGCAGAACAAACTCCCATTTCGCATCCCACCAAAGGAAAGAAGGGCCCCCTGGTTCATCGTACGTCGTGCAAACATTCCACTAGCCCCTTCGATCGTAGACAGGGGGATGTTTCATGTTACTCCATTGCGGATGCGAGGCGTGTATGAAAGACAACCATTGCGGCATCATCCTGTCGCTGTTGCGCATTTGACCGATGATGGCCAGACCATCCACGACTGCAATTTCGGGATTAAAAGAACAAACGCCGATCTCCATGGGGAAGCGCTGGGAGACACAATGGTTTTGTAGCAACAAAGTATAAAAGCATGTTATCGATAAGATGGCCAGCGATAAGATAAGGAGGGTTGCGGCCGTTGCGAACCGCGGGTTTCGGAGGTGGCCGACGATGCTCATCAGACCATTCCGTCGCTCTGTTCCTACTTTCGGGATTTAAATGGGGATCCAAAGGATTTAAAAGCTGGCGACAATTGTCCAGTGACAGTCTCTTTGTCTTGTTCCAAAACACCACTGCTCATTACATTCCTTACGGTGCCCTCTTGTACTTCTCCAACTCTCTGCTATACCCTCTAGTTCCATACATCAAAATGTCCGCAGTAACAGCAGCCCGCTATGGCAAGGACAATGTCCGCGTCTACAAGGTCCACAAGGACGAGAAGACCGGTATCCAGACGGTGTACGAGATGACCGTCTGTGTCCTTCTGGAGGGAGATATTGAAACCTCGTAAGACTGCTCCGGTCCATACCGATCCCTCGAAAGTTTGGCTAACCACCGAGGATTACAGCTACACCAAGGCCGACAACAGCGTCATTGTCGCAACCGACTCCATCAAGAACACCATCTACATCACCGCCAAGCAGAACCCCGTTAACCCTCCCGAGCTGTTCGGCTCCATCCTGGGCACACACTTCATTGAGAAGTACAAGCACATCCATGCCGCTCACGTCAACATCGTCTGCCACCGCTGGTCTCGGATGGACATTGACGGCAAGCCGCACCCTCACTCATTCGTCCGCGACAGCGAGGAGAAGCGCAATGTGCAGGTGGACGTGGTTGAGGGCAAGGGCATCGAGATCAAGTCGTCTCTGTCCGGCTTGACCGTGCTGAAGAGCACCAACTCGCAGTTCTGGGGCTTCCTGCGTGACGAATACACCACGCTCAAGGAGACCTGGGACCGCATTCTGAGCACCGATGTGGATGCCACTTGGCAGTGGAAGAACTTCAGTGGACTCAATGAGGTCCGCTCGCACGAGTCCAAGTTCAATGCTACCTGGGCCACTGCTCGCGAAATCACCATCAAGACCTTTGCCCAGGATAACAGTGCCAGCGTGCAGAACACCATGTACAAGATGGCAGAGCAGATCCTGGCGCGCCAGCAGCTGGTCGAGACTGTTGAGTACTCGTTGCCTAACAAGCACTATTTCGAAATTGGTAGGTTTTGTGCATCCCCGTTGTACTTTGACGTTGTCGCTAACCATGTAATCTTTAGACCTGAGCTGGCACAAGGGCCTCCAGAACACCGGCAAGAACGCCGAGGTCTTCGCTCCGCAGTCGGACCCCAACGGTCTGATCAAGTGTACCGTCGGACGGTCCTCTCTCAAGTCTAAATTGTAAACTACATGATTCTCACGTTCCGAAGCAAACTGTATATAGTCTGGGATAGGGTGTAGCATTTATTCACTTTTTTATTTTACCTCCACTTTGGCTCGTATAGTACAAATGCACCGTGTATGTGTAGATGCAAGTAGCAATCTTCCGGGAGCGGGAACGAAAAGCCCAAACATTATATCAGAACAGATCAAAAGAACTCCCACCCATGCGCTAGCAGATAAACAGGAAGAGACATAAAATTACAGACGAAGAAATACAATAGACCGTGGAAAAATGACCCAAGGGGAAAAAAAAAAAAACTATGCCTGGGTCTTGGCCTCCTTAAACGCTTCCTTCACCTCCGGCAAGTTGGCAATCACCGACTCATTCCCGAACTTGACAATGTTCTCCTCGTACGGATGAGCCAGGCCCTCGAATGCTATATCGTGTCCGGCGTTAGCAATCAATCTTCCAATCATCGAAGCACCCAATCACCCAATCGCCGGTGACCAACACCCCATTCCCCGTAAAGCAGTTGATCATGTAAAGGAAGAAAACATAGACATACTCTTCAGTCTAGCCAGACGCTTCTCCCGCAGCCGGTTCTTGGGCAGCATGCCCTTAACAGCACGTCGTAGGACCTCACCGCCACCCCATTTCTCGAACATCTTGTCCATCGTCATGCTCCGCAGGCTACCGGGGCGAGTCGTGTGCGTGTAGTACTTCTTCTGGAAGCGCTTCTTGCCGGTGGTCTTCAAGTCGTGACAGCCCACAGCGACGACATAGTCACCGCAGTCGGTGGAGGGGTCATAGATAGGCTTGTGCTTGCCCATCAGAAAGAGGGCGATGGAGGAAGCAAGCCGGCCGAGACTGCGCGGGTCGGTGCCGACGTCGACATGGTGCCAGGCCCGAGAGTAGGCGAGACGGGTCTATATCAAGACAAGGTATTAGCATTGAGTAAGTTCCGGTCCGATGAGAGGGTTCAATGCATGTGTTGCAATGTCGATATGTCATCGCAGATAGGTACGGTAGAAACATAAGACATTGATAATGGGGTGTCCAAAGATCATTGATAGGAATTGAATTACCTTTCCAACAGTCTGCGACATGGTGACGGTCCTTTCTATCAATCAAGACAAACACAAGAACTATTAAAGGAAACCGAATTAACCCGTCCCCGCAGATATCAAGCCAACAATCGCGCAGAGCAAGTCTCTATCCCGACCTCCGATGGAGACCCAAACTTCAGCCGCCTCGGCGGAGCATCACGTGACACGTGACCAGCGGCAAGCCCTAGCGGAGTCGCACTAAGCGAAGTCACCCGCACGGATTCTGAACCCCATCACCGCAATTCGAATAACAGGAAGACGACGACAACTTCACCACACTCCCCTTCCCGACACCGATCAGGGCCATTCGATCACCATGGCTTCCGTCCCGAGTGTGCAATGCTTCGGCAAGAAGAAGACGGGTAAGAATTTGTGCCTGATGGGATTTTTTTTTCCTATATTGAAAGGGGTGCTTTTGCGGGAAGAAAGAAAATGCTGACTTGAATTTTTATAGCTACCGCTGTCGCCCACTGCAAGGTATGCAACTGATTTTTTCTCTTTCTGTCTATCTTGTCGCACTGTGTGTATGGTCGCTTGGGGAGAGATTATCGCTTGAGTGGAATGGAAGAATGGAGAAAAGAAACAACATTACGTTACGATATATTCAAGAGGAGGGGAAATATTCATCGGAAAGAGAGGAAAAGAGCATGAAGTGATTGAATGATGTTTTGAACCTGCGACATATGCGCTCTGCTATTTCGATTTTGCAAAAGAAACGGTTATGGAAAAGGAACACATGCTGAGAATCATTACAGCAAGGCAAGGGTCTCATCAAGGTCAACGGCCAGCCCCTCTCTCTGGTCCAGCCTGAGATCCTCCGCTTCAAGGTACGCCAAACCAAGGAAAAGATGAACAACCCAACGGAACAACCCCCACCTGATACAAGAAATCTAGGTCTACGAGCCTCTCCTCATCGTCGGTGCCGACAAGTTCGCCGGTGTTGACATCCGTGTCCGCGTCTCCGGTGGTGGTCACACTTCCCAGGTCTACGCCATCCGTCAGGCTATCGCCAAGTCCCTCGTCGCCTACTACCAGAAGTACGTCGATGAGCACTCCAAGAACCAGCTGAAGCAGGCTCTTGTCCAGTACGACCGCACACTCCTCGTTGCCGACAACCGTCGCACGGAGCCCAAGAAGTTCGGTGGTCGCGGTGCCCGCGCCAGGTACCAGAAGTCCTACCGTTAAACGGCCTTCGAATCAAAAAAAGACCCATTTTACGGACGACCGACGGGAATACAAAAAAGGACGCGGAATGGTATCTATCAGGTGTACTGGGGAGGAGATTTGGAGCGTGCTCCCAGGGCAATCGGTTATGGTTCGGATCTGGTTGTCGCTGGGGTGGAATTGTTATGGTGCGATACTACTGGCTCTGTCGATGCTGGATTTAGTATAGGCCAGGTATCTCAAATATCACCCAATATTTTTTTTCCTGTTCAGAGAAAAGAGCCATCCGGATGTTATCCTATGTTATGTCGTTGGGTTTAATTTTTTGTGGTTGTTTTAACGGTTTCTGGACAGCTGGAATACATTTGATGTCACGTGACCAGGACTTTTGCCAGAAAATGCAAGATTACGACTTCAACTGAGATGATCAGATATTGTCTTGGTTAGTAGGTAGTAGCAGTAGGTGGCTCAGCTTACCACCACTGCTACTACTAACGCGCTGGGTAAACTGGTGTAGAACAAATGCCCAGGCCTCATCTGCCAGAAACGGTTAAATTAGGCAAGCCAGAGAGGAATCAATCCCGAGACCTCGGAAGACTCCGTCTTATTTATGACCAGTAGTTTCTAAAGACTAAATAGACTGCCTCCACTTCTCCCCAACCAACAACAACAACTAACATGGCCAAATACTCTCACTATTAATAACAAGTATTCAGTCCTCCACACGTACTTAGTCTACATTGAGATAGAGCACAAGGCTCCCAGGCTAAATGGAAGAAGACACATCATGTCCCGCGAATGCAACATCTCCGCGCTCCCTGCAGAATGACACTAACCACCCGACAGCAACATCACCGGCCTCGCCCTTATCGGATATATCTGGCCCGGGTTTGACGGCTACCGTGCACGCTCTTATCCGCCTCATTCAATGCTCTTGTTGCTCGCGGCCTCTACGCGCGCCACTGCGACTTCCGTGTGGGAACACGTTATGTCGGTCTTGTCTGCCGCCAATTCATGAGCGGACGGGGATTACATATCCGGCGAGCGACGAACGGAAAAAGGGATTCACATGCCATTGGGGTACGGGTGATGGTTGTGCTGGGCAACACTGCTTAGGTGACTGTGGGGCCGACGTGCTGTTGGGTAGGCTGGTGGATGTTTTTGATGCGGTACTTTGCGATTCCAGTTCTAGCCCGGAAACGTTTTCGGAGAATGAACGTGGCTTCAAAATGACATGGACAGGACTGAAGGATGATCAGCCCGGAACGGTGGTGAAAAGTGCAGAGGCTGCGGGAGGATTTCTAGAGGGTATGTACGGCCTAGTCAAGTGCGGTCGTTTCGATTATGATGTGTCAGATCTCAAGTTTGAGATACACGAGCCTATACACCAGGATAATCAACGTTTCGAAAGACTTAAGGACGCTGTTCGGAATGAGCTGGACTGCCAGGTCTGCTATTCGCTTATATTGGATCCATTGACAACATCCTGTGGCCATACCTTCTGTCGCGGATGTGTTGTAATGGCACTGGAACATTCCGATCTATGCCCTGCCTGTCGCCGTAAACTGAATATGGCGTCGACGGTGAAGTCTGAACCTACTAACAAAAGAATCTCTGACATCATGGAGACCTTGTTCCCTGAAGAGGTCGCTTTACGAAGAGACACAAGTGCCCAGGAAGCGACTGCGCCCGATGACGAAGCAATCCTTCCTTTGTTTATCAGCTCACTTTCCCTCCCGACGATGCCAACTTTTCTGCATGTCTTCGAGGCACGTTATCGGCTCATGATCCAAAGAGTCATGCAAACCAGGGAGCGCAGATTCGGGATGGTTATGTATAACCGTGCCGGTCGTTTCCAGCAAGGACTTGGAAGGTCGCAATTCATGCAGTATGGTACAGCCTTGGTTGTGGATCGTTATGAGCTGCTCCCTGACGGGAGAAGCCTAGTAGTTGCTACCGGGCTGTACCGTTTCAAGGTGCTCAGTTCATATGTGCTGGACATGTACTATGTCGGCAGGATACAGCGCCTGGATGATATTTCAGTAATAGAAGAGGAAAATCGCGAGGCCCTGGAGACATCAGTCGCGGATGCTTCGTCACTTTCGGCCGCGGATGCTTCAGGTGAGCAGCCACTAGAGTCTATGTCAACACAGCAGCTGTTCCAGTTGGGCTTGGACTTCGTAAGGAAGCAACACAGCCAAGCCGCTCCTTGGCTCCATCCTCGGGTGCTTTTAGCGTACGGTGATATTCCAACGGAACCTTCACATTTTCCCTGGTGGTTTGCCAGCGTATTACCTGTCTGGGAAGAAGAAAAGTATAAGCTTTTATCGACGACCAGTGTCAGGGAAAGACTGAAGATTACTGCACGTTGGGTAAGAAAGCTGGATTCTCGTGAATGGTATGTACCACTGATCATTCAACTCGGAAAACCTTTGGTAATGATGTGTTACTCACCATGCACTATCTGACCAGGACGGCTCGATCCCGGCCCTCCATTACCTCTGTCTTATGACTAGCCGTCCCTCTCCTCGTCTTTGCTCTAGTCCCGGTCATAATGGGTCCGGTCGCATCATTCTTACCGTTCTCATCTCCAAGGGTTTTGACATATTTCACACCGTTCTCCATGTCATTCTCTGTTACCTTTGGCTCTGCCGGCTTGTCAATTGATAATTCGCGACAGCTGGCAGAGAATCAGGATTCCGAAACGTATATTCCGCAGACCCTTGTAATAGGAATCTTTCTTGCTATGTTCGTAGCACAGGTGGCTGCCAACGGAGTCCAAGTCCTGCGGTCGAGGCGACAAGGAATAATAGAAGACCGACGGGATTTTCAAGTCGAGCAAGAACCCCCAAGGATGCCACCAGAGCCACCAGGCGAGGGCGAGGACGAGGGCGAGGACGAGGACGAGGGACGAACTCCAGAAGCTACCAGAGATGCTGGGTGATACTCCAAAGCATTTTTTGAAACATGCATGCAACTGCGGTGGCTCTACCCACCATCTTGGACTAGCGACACTTCCTTATTGCCAATCAGGGATCAAACTAAAGCAGCTTGGCAAAGTTGGTGTGCTGTGCTGAGATGATTGCTGCCTGGCCTGCGCCTTTACTGGCCGTGGATTCACTTGAACCCCTTGCCACAAGGCTGCATTGAGGGATTGGCAGCTGTGCATCAGGTCTGTCGTTAACATCAGTGCCTTCCCCAGGATTATATACTGTCTTTTAATCCCAGTGGAGATAGAGATGGTTTCTGATCCGGCTGCTGGATGCACCATATATCCGCACCCCATAGGGAGCTTGCCTTGTACATCCAAACATAATTACGTGGAACCCGCAGTGATATATGCAATGTACAGTCATCAACTGCGGGACTGACATTCGGATAGTACTTGAAGTGGTTCATGTACAATCAGATATATCGGCCGACTGGAGGATTTGAACACTTGTTCATGTAATCCAGACGTTGGCTGTAGTAGGCGCCGACGATCAATATAGCGTACATTCATTTCCTGTCCAGCTGAGAAGAGACGCAGACAGAGTTTCGAGATCAGCATTAAGAAATTCGAGAATTTTTTTTTCTTTTCCTTCTTCCTTTTGGAAGAAAATTTAAATAAAATATAAATAAATAAATAAAAAGAACAAGACGGCGTGAACCGTTGGTTCAGATAAGCGGGAAACAGATTCATCTTCAGGCATTGGAACAAGACACCAAGCGCCTTGCGTCGTTGAGAGCGTATCGCCAATCAAGCAAAACGGGACGATCCCGGCGCCGCACGCATTGACACACAGACATTGGGCTCGAATTTCTGACTTGTCCAACGCCACCTAGGTGGCTATGCATCCATCACCCCAGCGTTGTTGAGAGGATTCAAGTTGAGGATATACTAGTCTAACCAGTAATATATCTGGCGTCTGGGCTCGCTCTCTTTGCTTCTTCCTTGGGTTTGGCCTCGTTGGGCCAACATGACCAAGATTTAATAATAGGAGGGGGCCATGCATGTTGTCTTCTGGCCGTCTTGCATATCATCTGCATCCAGTCTGCGGTGTTGGTCGCTCATAGGATGAAAGTGATCGAGCTCGGTTCCCCGGTGGAGAAGACCATAAGCACTCTCTGGTAGTTACCAGGTACTTGACCAGGAAAGGGGGTTGTTAAGAGGTTAAGCTACTAGTAGTTTGTTGATCGCACCTGCAGAAGTAACGTGGGGTGACGTTGTGAACTTGTGATATGTCGTGAGGAAAGCACGAGACTTTCAGGTCTTCTTGCTGCATGCTTTCTTCTGTCTCTCTTCCCAATTCTCACTCACTCACTCACTGTTCCTGTCACTTTTCTTTTATTTTAAGTTTGACCGGTTCAATCAGTTCTTATTATTTAGTCTCTCGCAGGTACGCATTCTCACTACTTATTCTCCATCCACCTGGTACTAAAACATAGGCAGAGGACCGGGTACCATGTCTTCTTCATTCATTACTGTTGAAAAACGTCACTTTGAATCTCTGCTACGGAGGTGAGTATTGGGGCCTTTTCCTTGTTTTCTTAAGGCTTTGCCTTTGTGGTTCTGCGTATACTAGCAGGCTTACCCTCTTCCTCTGTTGTTACTTTCTGAGAGGGTTGAACTGGTGAATTTTGATACAGTGATTGCATGCAGCTACTAATGACTTGACAGAGTAGAAGCTGTGAGTCCAATCACCTATACTCTGGATTGTAGTGATCATCTACTTATTCCTGGGACTGCAAACCTGGAACAGCATTCGTCTCAGGAAAACAAAAGCCCTGCAAACTCAGATTTAGTAACCATTTCAAACACAGAATACCAAGATCTGGTACGTAGTGTCGAGAAGGCTACCACATCCCTGGACAGTAACTGCAGAGTTTTGGCAAGCTGACACTGAATCAGCTTGCAGTATCAACTCAGTTCAGTACGTTTCCTACCAATATCTGCATAGTACTATTCCTATGCTGCATTGCGCTCATTACTGACTGAATGTCCGCAGAAAGGCTAAAGGAGTCGCTTTTGAATGGCGGGCTGTCTCAGGAAACTCTCGATGTTAGGATCTCTTCTCTTCAGCGACACCATTTTGCTGACCGGATTGCCTAGATATTGATATACGGTTCGCCACCGCTGTCCGATTCTCGAGATAGCAGTAAGACGTGCACTAGCGACTCCTTAGAACGCAAAAAGCCTCCATCACCTAGAAGACCAAATCTATCCAACGACCACAGGCGTTGGGAAAGCTACGACGACGATGATGATGATGATGAAGAGGGTGTCCTGATAGCCTCCCAAGATAGTGATAGGGATGATTACGATGACTCCTCTAGAAACTCAGGGTCATCCATAGCTTCAACCCCTCAACGAACCATTCTGCTCCGTGGCCTCCCTGATCGTGTTACTCATAGAGAGCTTGTTGAAGCCTTAAAGGGTGGCGCTCTTCTCCATATTCACCTTCGAGCGCGGGAGCGCATGGCCAGCATTTCGTTCGTCCAGGAGGCAAACGCACAGGAGTTTATGCAGCATGCAAAAAGTCACGGGGTCTACATTGCTGGAAAGCGTGTACGTTGCCCAACGCCAAGGTATTACGACTAATATGTTTAACATTGATGATAGGTGGAGATATCTTGGAATGACCGCCAGTTTTACCTCCCCCCTTTCGTCAGGGCTAAGATCAACAACGGAGCTTCACGTAATCTTGTCCTATACAACGTACACCCCAACGTCACGGAATGGCTTATTCGGAAGGACCTCGACCACATCCATAACCTCATCGTCATCACAGTCAAATTCAAGAATGGAAACGCTTACATTTCCACAAATTCCGTGCATAACGCGCTGTTTGCACGCTCGTGTATGATGTCTCGGCTCACTTATAAAGGAATGAGGATTGCATTTTACCCGGATGAGTGCGCTGAGCCTCTAGTCAAGCTTACCAATGGCTTGAAGAAAGAGTCACAGGTGCCTTCAAAAAAGTCTGTTTCGGTTCTCAATCGGTTCCAGCTCCTGTCTCTTGACGGGGCCGAGGAAGATGAAACCGATCATGATCACGGCCAAGCTGGATTGGACAGTTACCATAAGAATACTGCACTGAAGGTGCAGCATTAATAAAACAACATGGGGAAGGGATACTTGATGGAGATTTAACTACGTCAGTTGGTCCAGCACATTAGGAAGTATTACTAAACAGTTGGTATAGGTCAGACTTTAGTGGTAGCAAGATGCTAGAAATTCAGCTCCAAGATTTGGAATGAGATGCCCCATCACAACACATACTGTCGTCATACACTATGCAAGCCTGAGCTCCCTAGGATGAGTCTTCCAAAGGTATTCGGTGTGCGGGTGAGTGAGCAAGCTACACTAGTTAAGTATAGTGAACAGCATTACATGGGAGGGGAACGAACAAAAATACGGAAAAGACAAGTATTTTTCCACGTAGATAGATAGTCATGTTGTATGTACAATACAATGAGACTAAGATAGCCGTCCATTTTTAGAGTCCAAAAGGCCACAATCAAAGGCCCTTTTCATGTATTTCGTCTCCTTTGGCTGAGTTGCTCCTTCTTCGTATTCTTTTCCCTCCGCTGAACAACCTAATGAAGGCTACTGAAAGCAAGAGAAGCAGGAAGAGAGCACGCCATGGAAAGGAAAAGAAAGAAAGATATCACATGCTAGCATCCTTTCGTTGCTCGTAAGCCCAAAACCCATCCAACGCCGTACAAAAACATAGCACTAAAAATAGCTGTAATAAGCTGTTGAAGATCCAAATTCAGGGGTATGCATGCATGTATGTATATGGATTTGTTGTTTCTATGATACTATTGGGTATAACATAACTCTGAAATGAGAGAGAGAGGTAGAGAGATGAAGGGGCCGAGGAAGAGTTACCAATCGCCATATGACACTGGGCCGAGGACGAAGCGTCGAAGGAGGTGAACGCTTTTGGGTGTGAGGTGGAATACTGAGTCTGATACTCTTGGCCCGTGATGTGGGAGTGTCTGACGGCGCAAGCGTCTTGCTCCAGGTTTCCTCTCAGTGGTACCGTCCACTGAAGGATGGTTTCCGAGGGTATTGCGGGGTAGATGGATGAGATATATGGTGTTATTTCGGGTTTATATTGTAGGTTGAAGTCGGGGGGCTCGAAAAGTTAATGTGTTCATTTAGCTTAGCTCGATTCCTGGGAGGAGGCTGCTTCTGAGTCGGTGTCTGCGTCGTCTTCCATTACTATTCGTCGCATGACGCTTTTATCGAACAGGTCCAGGGCGAAGCGTCGGGCAGGGAGGCGGAAGTGGTGGCTTTCGAGGATGCTAAGGGTTTTGCGGAATAGGTGTGGTTGATGGAATCGTTCGGGTTGTTTTGACTTTATGCTATAGTTTGAAAGCGGTGATTAGTAGGATTGTTCTGTATTAGATTGCATGGCTTGGAAACGACGGGTTACGTACCTATGAAGATCCGCCGCTGCTCGCTTGGATAGGACGGTGTTACCCATGTCGACAATGAGCTTTAAAATTTTTTGGTTAGTGGGATCTGGATCGGTGGTAGCTTCCTTGAACTTGTCTTGGGATATGCGTTTGGATTCTCGGTTTCTAGAATGTGAAGGGAAGTCCACCTTGAAAAGAAAGGAGCTGTCAGTGTCTGTTTGTGGTATTTTTGACTTGTCACCTGTGTAGAACATACCAGGAACAATTTATTGAAATCGGTAGGGAGGCAGAGTCCAAGAGAATTCCCCTTCTGATCGAAAGCAGAATCCCAGCCAAAATCTCTCAGTACCTTGAGCCCATGTCGACTACGGGAGATCAAACCAATGACAAAGAATGCGGTTCCCCTCATCGTTAGAACCTCAGCACTTTCAGCGATCTTAACTATGCGTTCAACGATGTCTGGCTCGAGGAACGGGGCGCCTAATTCCATGGAACCAACGTTCCCAACAGCCCAGAGACAGCCCTTAACTTTGAGCAGAACCTCGGTGTCTTCCTCGTCCAGACTGAAATCGCGGATGGTCCAGGCGAATTCGCTAAAATGACCCGATTGTTCAAGAAGCTTGCAGCCCTCCGCGGTTCGGGCCAGCTCTCGATAAAAATGCGGTGGGACCAGCCCGATATCCTGCAGATCGACAAGATCTTCCGGAACAAAACTGCCTCTGCGCGGCTGATCGACGTAGGCCCGTGATAAAGCAGCTTCCACTAGACCCACATACGCATCGTTCCGGCCCAGAAACCAATCGTCCATTTCTTGCGTGATGTAGTCGAGTCCATCGAGATAGTGATAACCTACTGAGGTGGATAAAAAGCGCAAGAGCAAGGGTGCGCCGATCTCACCAAGATGGTCCAAGGATGGCCTGCACTTGACCACAAACTCGAGATAGTCTCGATGGTTGCATGCTTCTTCGAGAATCTTTACGGCCATCTGGCATACAGACACGTCAGGATCGTATAGTTGGGTGACCAGAAGCTTGACAACCCAGTCGGCATTGCCTATGGCCATCTGTGGAGAGAGTGGAACATTGCCCACTGCGTATTTCCGGAGCAGCTTGGTCGCAAATATACGAATGTCTTTCGAGCCTGTCGTGAGAGCCTTAGATAGTATAACTCTCAGGTGGCTGTCTTGTGTGTAATCCATATTGCCCAGAAGAGTCTGTATGAGATCGTCTCGATCGCGTAGCTCAATAATATGGTAAAACATGTTGAGCATGTGCCACCGCTCCATCATAGCAAGCCCGTTGGTATCGCCAGTTAATGTGCCTAGTAGGGCAAAATACCCGCCGCTCAATGTGTTAGCCATCTGTTCTCGTGAGAAGAGAGGCGATGAGGATGTCAGCCCGCTCATGCGATCTACTTGAGCAAGGCATTCCGCAACCTGCCTAAGGAATTTGTTCTCAGCCAAATACTTTGTTCCCTCGGGAATCGAGACTAGGGTGCGCATCAGCGCGCAACCTGTTCGAACATAGCGTTGGTTTGGCTTGGTATTCGGAAGCATGGAGAACCTATACTTGAAAGGCCGATAAAATCCCATGAGTCGCTTCATGAACTTGGATCCTTTGATCGCCTCGTCTAGTCTCTTGGGGTTCGTCAGGGGCCCCTCGACGATGCGGTGGATAAGATCCCATTTCCACTTTAGGTAATTCACTGTGTTCAAGACATGCGTTTCCAGAATCGCATTGCGAAATTGGGTTTCATCCATTGTAGGGCTCAATCTGTCTTTGCTTTGGTCACTAGACAGAAGAGAGGCGGAGATGTCAACATCCACACTATATCGCCCTGCCCCATTCGAGAAACCAACCGAGCGGGCCAAAGTTCTATTTATGCTCTCAATCTGATATATTGTGGCCATGGAAACATCATGGTTGTCCACATCAAACTTGATTGCGGCGGGCAATAAGTGCGGAAGAACCTGGAGTTTGGAACTGATTTCTTGTGGCAAAGAGTGTTGGGCTAGCTTCAAAACTTCGGTCAAGAGCAATGTTGCTTTACGTCTAAGAGACAAATCCTCTTCATCCTCGATGAGCTCCGAGAGCGCCTATGCCCGTTAGCAAAGCCGACCACGATACAGCTAATATGGACAAAGACAGGAGGGTAAGTACCTTGGATAATCCTGCATCCACTAAGGTCGCAAGGATGAGGGTAGAGAAGTGTGCTGTTAGGTCAAATTTACTCTCATTGTCGTCGTAATACCCGCGGTATTGCTTGGTGTCTGTCTCTGACCGAAGATTTGAGACTCTGCCATAAGTCGTGAGCCGTCGACCCGCCAGGAAAGATGAAGACCATGATGGTGGTTTAATCCTTAGGGCATCAAACAAGAGCTCCATGATCAGATCTCTGGCCTGCGAATCAGGGTAGTGCAAAGATTCCAAGAGCGACTGCAGAGGTTTTCCACCATTCCTTGCAAGGACTACTAAGCCCGGCCACGTCTTGAGCATTGCTGATATAGCTTTAGCTGATGACTTTAACCGGCCATTGCGAACGCTATCTGCTAGTGAATCGGTAAAGGGTGCAAGAACAGCTTCGAGCTCGGTCCCTCCTCGCAGGTGTTTCCTACTCTGTGGGGTGTCAAGTACATGCAGAAAGCTCGCTATCAGAGACTCGGAGGCGCCGAATGTCCCTTCTGCTAGGGCATCATGCAATGTCGCAAAGCCACCAGCATAAGCAATGAGTTCTGGTTCTTTAACCAGAATTTCGGCGAGGGTCATAATCGATATGTTTCTGAGGCGATCGTCGTAATGCTCAGCAACAGAAACAATAGTCCGCACCACAGCGCGCGAGATTTCACGCACACCATCCTTGACATCCAGAAAAGCCCTGACAAATTTCAAGGCCTGTTCACGCTCAATACTTGCTTTGCTCTCTTTGACGAGCGACAAGATTACCAACTCGTCTGTGTGCAATGCACGAATGATGTGGAGGGATTTCCGATCCGCAATGGCATAGCGAGTCAACCTGTATCCAGCCGCCACGACTTCCTTGTTGTCACTTAGGAGCATGACCTGAACGCGCAAACCGAAGACAGACCACGCTAGGTCATATTTCAAGGTGGGGTGTCGTTTGAAGAGCTCAACAAGGCTATTTGCACGCTCAACGTAGTAGTCTGGTGACATGCCCTCAATCTCCAGTGCTTGTAATGTCTCTGCAAGTACATATGTCGGTGACTCCATTTCCGCTTCTCCATCCTCCGGCTGACCCTCGTCCAACTCCACATTGCTGCGAGAGGGTGATCGCAAGGAGCTACCCTGGAATAGAGATGATAGGCGACTCCGCGGAGGAGTGGACGGCGCCTGCGCACGTAGTAGTTCCTCCTCCAGTTCATGATGGAGTTCGGCGAGCTTTCGATTCGACGAGCTCAACTCGGATTCCACCTTTAACCTCTGCTCCTTTGTTTGTTTCGGGTTCTTGGCCAGTAATGCCTCGAGCATATTCTCCGTCCCAGTTTTAATTTTCATCTCCTTCGCAATCTTATTTCGAATCGCAGCCTGGCGCTCCTCGGTACTTGACAGGTCGTCGGGTTCGACGTTACTGCTCCCTCTGCGCCTAAACGTAGCATCGGGCCGCGGCGTTGTGCTCCGTGAGGTTTTCATGCTTTTTAGCTCAGAACTGAAGCTACCTGGGCCCCCAGACCCAGACGAGGGGGCCAACGACGGCGCTGCCCGAAAGCCGATGGTCGCACTACCTCCAGATTCCGATCGAGCATTTCTCCCCGACCTCGAAGCGACCCCCGGCCAACTTCCATCCACGGAGCCATCATCAAGACTGGAGTATGATCGTCCATCTCCCACAGCACGATGCTGGGTCGACGTCGTCGAGAACGTTGAGTTATATCCGGACGCCATAGATCTCCATCTAGCCGCAACGGAATGCGTATCACCTGTCGCGAATGAGAAGAGGGGCTGAGGGCCGCATTGAGTCCGCCGTGGAAAATCCGAGTGCTACCGCGAGGACGAAAGATATCTTCGTGAATATAGATCGAGCGCGCTTTGTGTCGGTCGGGCTAGACAGCGGGTCCGATTGGAAGGGAGGGGAGAAGAGTACGCGCTGGTCGCGGAGAGCTGCTTTAGTCGGAGGTCAGAGGAGGGGTTAGTCAGGGCGTGTCGAAGTATGAGAAGGTGGTCACATGCACCACGGCACAGCAGATGACAGTTTCAATTCCAGAAGCAAGTTTACAGCCTCGATGGGAGATCTGAGCCCATCCCACCGGCGTTGGTTTCAGGTGGTCGTTGTCCGCTGACTAACCAGGCCCTATAGATGGCCTCAGGCTGCTATACATCGTGCCATATTATTTACATCCCTTTCTTACTACATGAATCAGAAGTTGCATCGAACAGTGCCTCGTTCACTTGGCAAAATATCAAGACGAATAGACGAAGTACGAGAGGGTCCCGAATCTACCAGGAGATAAACATGCTTATTAGGAATACCAAGGCCACTATAGAAACAGGGCCAGTCATCTTGCGTGATATCATGACAATTGCCACTTCTTCTCCAAGATACTGCTAGATTCAACAGATCCCGACTGCGCACGGTCAAGATTGTCACTGCCTTGGTCCAAACCGCTCTTGTTTTGAAGGGACTCGGTCTGCAACTGAGCGATAACAGCTTGCGAGCTCGTCTTCTCCCTACGCCACATGACCACAAAGACATATAACATGCATACTCCTCCGCAGACCATACCGTATATGATCGGTGGAACCGGTGGGATATCCTCGGTATGCTGATACGCGTAGTAAAACCCTAGTCCACCATTAAGGATGCCAATGGCTGATAATAGGCGCCCGAACCAGCGGTGTAAGACACCGTAGATGGTGGTTCCTCCTGATCTTCGAAAATGCAGATGTTGCACAATCCCTATGACAGGCTGGATAAGAACGACCACGCCGACCAAAACATAACCTATAGTAGGATGATAGCCTTTAGACAGTTTGAGATCCATAGATACGGAGACTCCAAAGCCAAGTCCAATCAGCGCTACACAGGCTGCAATTATTTGCATGGGAGCATGCATCCACAGAACAGTGTGGCGAGTTGGGTATATGTGCAAGAGAAGCCCAAAACCAGGGAACATCAAAACGAAAGCGATCGGCGTCATCACACCATGTGCAACACGTTTGCTGTAAAGCGAAGCATCATCAATGACATGCTCTCTTGAGGAAGGGGTGACATCGTGATGCAGGTATGTCAAGTCGAGAAATGGATTCGACGAATTGCCACCAATGGCTCTGGTCAAATCCAAGGTGAAGCTACCATGAATATCGTGCTTATGAATCTGCACAGCAACATCCGATGACACCAATGGATACCCATGGCACATAGCCCAACTCCACGGGCTAGAGCTTCCCATTATGTTATCTCCATTGTCTAGATGCATGCAGTTATCACAACGGATATTTGCTGTCATCACACCATCATGGACCCCAGAACCTTCAAGAAGATAAGCCTGGATATTGGGATCATAGAAGACGTCAAGATGACCGAATGCTTTTCGTGGAGAGAGAGTGACGCTGCCATCAGGCGAAGGGTAGATGAGAAAGATGCTCCCACCTGCCATTCGCTCGCCCTGGCCGAGTGCTATCCATCTTGCATGAGATGGTGCGCTCAGTTGAAGATATATGGTACCGTTGATATCAGATGCTGTATTCTCTGGTATGTTAAAGCTGTACGATACCCCACCTCCCTTAGAGGGGAGATAAGTGATGATATGACCCCATGTTGAGGAAACTGGTAGAGATCAGTCAACGCTTATATTGAGTCAACCGGCGACCTACCTAACATCAAGGTAACGGCCAGAAATACAGACAAAGGATAAAGCATTGCCACTGCCAACTCCAAAACTCAATGGGATTTTTCATATGAAATCGATATACATGGAGGAGATGTGATGAACGAATGAAGCACAATCTTACGGCCTACACGAGACATATATAGCTCATTCACAGGGCTTTACAAGGACAAAAGCAACCACGCGGGGGCACATTACAGGGAATTACTTCATCGATGTTCACTGGCCCCGATAATCTAAGAATGATGTGGAAGCATGACTCGATAGTGATGCCTTAATCCGACTTTAGTGCTCTGGGACTAGCGCTAAGTTGTACACTCTAACTGGGGTATATTCAAGACTAAACGAACCCGTGAGACTTACATCCCTGTTTAAATAAGGCTAGGCGTGAATCGAGGGACTCGCGAGGCTAGGAATAAGTCATTTTCACCTATTAAAAACCAGCTGTGTGCAATTCACACAGGGTTGTTTGCTATAACCATCCCGGCTACATAGCAGATGATATTGCGAAAGGGAAAGAAAGGAAAACTGAGCCTCATCGTGTTGCTTTAAGTGCACCCCCAGGAGTTACATTGTAGCTCAATAGTCGGTGGAGACCACTTGACCATCCCAGGCTAAAGGACGACGATGAAAACGGTCGCGTGTCGGGGCGACAGTAGCCATGCTACACTGCTAGCGAAATCTCAGTACCGCCGAAATAGAGAAGACAACCAAACGGTCTCGGCCGTGCTTATGGATTATTACTCTATTTCCCAGTGGGGAAAAGAACAGTGATTATCAACCGAACCGTCAAGGAGGTAGGGTATCTTAGAACGTTACCACAGGCCATTACATGACTGGACACCAATCTGTCGGGAACAGTATGAATGGACCACGTAGTCGCTGATGTTCGAACTACTTAAGCAAGTTACATGAACATGCAGGACACGGCTGGTTTTCCTCTAGCATGATGCACGCTTAGACCTCCAAGTCACATCATGTATGTCCGAGATTCCGTATACTAAACGATGACTATGTTGGAGTGGGTAGCCACGGCCGTTACGCTGTTTAATTGGTTCGGAGAAAATATAAATAAGGTAGCGGCCCGGGCCTCTATCAAGCCCTAGTACGCAGTGTACGGCCTGTTCAGGAATTAATAAAGGCCGAGAAGAGTCTCTTCTACAGCTCAGAGATGATTCTCTGTACAGTACAAAAGTTTTCCTTCTTTTTTGAGAGACTAAGGCCAAAGGGGACCTGATCCTGGTCCATCTGTCGACTAACCCCTGTTGTACTCTATAGACGCCTTTGGAAGTAATCCATGAAAACCTGGCACGCTGCAAGGACTGGGGTGCGGGTGAAAATAGAACCCTTGGTAGTATAATGATATTATGTGGGAATGCCTAAGGTAGAGACCTGAGCACACTGCAATGCGGCGCTGAGATGTCTCGAGTGGCCATTGAGCCATTCATTTGCGACTATTCCACGCCACCTATTACAGTAGTATCTGTTGCTATATTACTTTTTCTTTTACTTTTTTATTACCTGAAGCTTCTATCAGTACAGAGTGACGTCAATATAAGTATATTTTAGATGCTGCCGGTCTTCTACTAGTTTATTAATGGCTGAGTATTCCTTCTCTCCTACTTTGGGAGAAGAGAGGAATGTACTCCGTAGATGACCGGGACTATATGATACTTCATAGAAACATTGTTCTCATTCACAGAGAAACATTGACTAGGAAGTACGCCGCCCTTGATTCCAGGAAACTCTGTTCATTTCATTAGAAGAAGTATCATAAGTATCTTTGTTTACATGTGAAGGGTTTGATTCAATTTACTGAGTCAAGGGAATGTACCTCGATAGTCTACCATTTGCTCCGAGCCATTATATGACCACTGTTCTATTAGAACCCTCGTTTAATCTTCGAATGCATCTAGACCTCAACCCCACATATACGAATGCGGCCAAGGACAGGCCCTGCAATCATACGTAATTCTCCTTGGTAATCAAACATGCTGACGTTGAACTGTGGTCTAGCCTGGTCCGAGAATACAAAAAGCAAAATAGGTTTTCACACGCGTGACCAGATTCTCTGATTACTCTGCCTATGTACAGAGGTTTTGCATCTCCACCAGTAAGCACGGCCTTGGGTATGCAAATGCCTTGATAGCCAAATGTGCGTTGCTATAGTAGGAAATGTAAATGAACAGAAAGCTTGATACAAATACCTCAGGCTAGGAAGCTTACTGGACGACATCCAATTCGTAATCTGTGACACAATAAACAATTCCTGGTTTAAGACCTAGGATATATGCAGTGTTACCCACGAATGCTCCTTAAATTACCATCGCGACCAAGTCACCTACCATATTAAGGTAATACTGATGATTCCATCTTGTCTAGACGTACACTAGCGCCATCTAGTTGTAATAGTCACTGGACTGATAGACTAAGCCAGAATACAACGTCTTCAATATATGAGAGTGACTTTCGCCGATTACCATAACAGTCAACTTATGATCCCAACAAATAAGCCCTGGCTAGGGTATAAGATCGACAGAATATACTACAAAGCCATGAAATATAAAGTAAATCGTACATCAAGCATAGAAATTCTTGCCGACACTACCTACAAAAATCAACAGGAGTATAATTCGCTATACATCCCTCTCTTCCCAGCTTTGACTATGTTGCATTGGCACTAAAAGCAGATCGCCACCGATTCTGTTGTTTCAGGTAGTATACAGTGTCACCCCTCTGTGATACGAATATTGCAATAGCTTCTTACTTCATACACCACGGGCAGGTCAGCATGAATACGCTCGCATGACTGCGCGCACCACCACCACCAACAAGGAGGCAGCATGCAATCAAAGAAATTCTTACTGCAGTCATTGTATTCCACGAAAGAAGCGCGTGTAATCGGCCGACCACTGTTGTCGCGCAAAGCTCCTCACACCCGACAAAAACCCTAACACCGGCCTCATACGCCGACACTTCAAGAGAGGGGAACCCAGTATTACACATCTACCTGAGACCATTTACAAGGTTGCCAGGATCTGACGCTCTTTAAGCACCAATCGCAAGTGCCTCACCAACGGTTCTAACATCCTTCGGCGACAAACCCAACACCAGACACTCGGGTCACGCTTGCATGTTGAGGCAACACGGCTTAGAGGTCAGATGCTCAGTTATGTTACCTTTCCCGTTGCGCCTGATACTCGAAAGAAGCTGTATAATTGCATCCTCCAAGTTGACGATATGGGGGCGGGGCTAAGGGTGCTTATAATTTTGAGGAATAGGGCCTTGTTGTTACTGGGATTGTCCGGCTTTTCCTCTGGAGGCTGTGGACGCACAAGAGCAGATTCTCTTGATAACTATTTGGATTTGATCGTCAAAGCAGGTGAATCGGGATGTTACAGTGAGCTCTAGGTATACACTGTATCTTTATGAGGCGAACTAGGCAACATGATGTGTTGTCTTATCAGTAATTGTAGGACGCTAAGCTCAAGATGATGATAAATATACTCCCCAGTATAGGTTGCGCATCTATTAGGGTTTATGCTACCTGATAAGGGAACCTGCAATGCAAAGACTTGTTGGCAACTTGCCAAATTTTTATTTAAAGGACGGCATCATAGTTAAATAACTGACACCTGTCGTACCTTGACAAACTCAGCAATATGCGTGAGTAATACTCCCGAAATATGCCATATCGGCCTTCATCCTAAGCCTAGAATGTTGATCTCATCCGCCCCTTTCCTGCCCTTGGGTTCTTTTGTATCATGGTCATTTTGTCGTTATCTTTCCTCCTCCAGGTTTAGTCGCCCTTCGTCTTCTCAAGGATAGTCTTCATCATTTCATTGCCTAGCGTGACGGCATCGGGGAATCGAGGAGCGAAGTATCCCTGGATCCGCTCAAAGCGATCGCGGTAGGATTCGAAATCTCCAAATGAAACACAGTCTGACCATGCCTGTAGTAATCCACCCATGTCAGCGCGTTGTAATGGAATGCATGTATATTACAGGATAAAAAAGACCGAGCACTGCCCCGAGGGACGAATACAAGCAAGTGACACCTACCCGAGCAGCGAATGTAAACTCCAAATCGTCAGAGCGGAATGTCTTGTCATCAATGGCAGTATCCAATGCCTCGTCAAGCAGATCAGGATTGCGGAAGAGGTACTCCGTGACTCCCAGCCAAAGACGGAAGAGCTGTATCAGTATAGCAGCGGTCAGCGATTGATCCACGCATCGGCCGAGCGATTGTGTATTAATACTCACAGGCGTAGAGCAAATCATATGGTCATAAGGGACAATTCCAAGCTTTGACCAACAGTCCACGATTGCAAGCAAACTAAGGTGACTGTTAGGGGGCGACGCCTCACGAGGTCCCTTTGAGAGCGAGAACCGGTCAAGAACCTCGTCTTTCAGCAACAGGTCCTGTCCTTCCGTGCCCGCTTTAAAGACGGATGCGCCTGCAGCCTTGACACGCTGCTTAAGCTCCTCCCGGCGACCCTCAATCATCAGCTTGTACAGGTCCGTCACTGACTCTGCGTACTGTCTGATCTGTTTCTTCGCGCTTGGATTGAGAATAGCCAGGCCAGCATAGACGTGCCATTTGTTGGAGTAGATACGCAAAGTGATATTGATCTTCACGTTTTCGATTCCTCCTACCCAGCGAGATATCTCCCAGGGGAACTGTTTATTCGCCTGCCATGCGGTGCCCATGCTCAGGAAAGCAGCATGTGTAACGGCCTGTGTATCTGCAGTGATTCGATCGTGCATCTCGCCAGTGAGATAGACAAACTTGGATTCGAAGCATGAGAGGACATTTTCGACGAATCGGAGACTCTCGTCCGATGCGCGGTGTTGTATCAAGACCTGAACCAATACGTTATCATCGGTATAAGCTGGTAGCAATCTGCATATCCTACCAGTGGTTGAGCTTTCGGGTTAACTTTAGGGCCGTGGAGTGAATGGCAGGATACAATCTCTACATCTGAAGGGAGATGCTTATCGAATGCGGCCAGCTCTGGAGCTTTGCAAGATGTCTGGCCACCGACAATCGCACCGACCTTGGTAGCTGTGTCAACAAGTCAGACACTGCTCGAGGATAGGCAGTGGTAGGTTGGCTAGACATACATGGGCCATATTCCGCCACTACCTTGTCGATCACTCCGGCCTCTACACTGTATATAATGAAGTCGCTTAATCTTGAAACCAGGTGTCCATTCGGGTAAATTGTGACACCTTTCTATATACGATGAGTCTAGGAACAGCATGAGCTGTGATCGACAGACGTACTTGAGACGCAAATTCAGATTTCAGGCTCTCAAAACTATCAGGCTTGTCACATGCATTTATCCTTGAAGAAAATATTCTTGTTAGTAACTAAAGACGTATCTATGAACTATAGAAGCGATATACTGCAATAACCTTGACATAACAAGTTAGCCCATGATCAGAAAAGGTTAAACTTGTGACACAGCGGATGAGATAATTTCGAGTCAGACAAAAAGATTTAGGTAGCTGAGATTTTACATCATTGACAGTCCAGCAGTACAACCATATACCAGAATGGTGATACGGCGCACTACCGGACCATACTCGAGCCAAATGCACTCAAGTCATCATTCAAAACAGGAAACGCGAAAGGTGCAGGGGATGAAAAGGAGTTGTCTTACCTATTACGCGAGAACACAGTGCACAGCACTGACAAAGACCGAAAAAAATCAAAGCTGGGAGATATTACCTCCACCCTGCCATGCTCAGGCGCTGGGCATACATCTTGCCCATGTCGCCCATGCCGATGATGCCAATCATGGCATCTTCCTTGGTGAAACCCATACTGAACTGGTAACACCAAGATAAACTGTGCACGATGATACGGACACTCAGACTATCTTCCAGCCAGAGAAATCAATCCAACATCAATTCGCTGCACCGGTCGCTTCCCTTGCGAAACACAGAAGTGCGTGTGAAGAGAAGAAAAAAAATGAGAGCTGTCAGCAAGAAGAGAGAATTTAAGCGGAAAATCACCGCTCTATCGGCCCGACTGTTGGCCGATACAGCCCCACCACTCCTGCTTGACTGTCAAGTAAAAAAATGTTATGAATATTTAGTGCCTGAGGCTTCAACTCGCTTGATCCCCGCCGAGATTTAACATTCATCCAATCAGCGTCAACAAAAGGACCGTAGGGCACACACCATCCATTTTCCGTATCCAAGTCAATTGAAGGATCCGTTTTCCTTCCTTCTCTTTTCCATATTCCATACCACCGTCCAGCACAACAACAATGGCCCCCAAGCAGAAGACCACTGCCGCTAAGGAGAACGTCACTCTCGGCCCTCTTGCCGGAGATGGTATGTACAATCCTAGAGCCTATAATATACGCGCAAATCTAATAGGAATGGGTCTGCAGGCAAGCTCGTTTTCGGCGTTGCTCGTATCTTCGCCTCCTTCAACGATACCTTCGTCCACGTCACCGATCTGAGGTTCGTCGCATCACCTTTCCTACGATTTCTCCGTCCATGCGAATCCCCCCGTGAAGGATTGATATACTGGAGATTGGAGATGAATTGTAAAAGAGACACCAGACTAACTCTTGGGTTACAGTGGTCGCGAAACCATCTGCCGTGTCACCGGTGGTATGAAGGTCAAGGCTGACCGTGACGAGTCCTCTCCCTACGCTGCCATGTTGGCTGCTCAGGATGTTGCTACCCGTTGCAAGGAGCTCGGTATCAACGCTCTCCACATCAAGATCCGTGCTACCGGTGGTATGTAGCGATATTAGATCCCGCGGAAGGAAGACAACCACCAGATAGCTAACCCTCCTTAGGTAACGGTACCAAGACCCCCGGTCCCGGTGCTCAGTCCGCTCTCCGTGCTCTTGCCCGTTCCGGCATGAGAATCGGCCGTATCGAGGACGTCACCCCCACTCCCTCCGACTCTACTCGTCGCAAGGGTGGTCGCCGCGGTCGTCGTCTCTAGATATGTGCGAGCATATCTTCTCCAACTTGTGCAAGTTTCTTGCCTGGCTGGATGGGAGGCTATCAGCAGAGTACTCTGCCTGCGGATGTGGATGGAATAAACGCGAAGAACGGCCTTTATCGCCTGGTCTTCAATTTACTTCATATCCAAAAAAGTTTCTACTCGGTTTTGGGCATCAGTAGTCTCTGAAATAGCAGCTACGTCTCGTCAATATACCTCAACTAGAACCGTTTACCTTTTCTATCCATTTGTAAATCTTGTAGTGATGTTTTATAACATCTTGGAACGATCTAAGACCAATAAACGAAATCGCGACATGTTAGTCGTACCCTCATAGCACAGCGACACGGACATTTAGGCTACATAATGGTATACAACGCTGGGAGAACCAAATATTCAGATAAGGACAGCCCCGGAAGCTTATCGGTGATCTACGCCGAATTCTTTTCACTCCGCGGTGAATTTTATTTTCTCCAGTGTCTCTGCCAGTTAATTACAATCCTTAATAAATGACCCAACCTACTTCCTAAGCGTGCTACCTAGCGAAGAATTGATTACCGGAAAAGCCTAGAGAGAACCACCCCAGCAGCTTGAGAAGAGCGCAACAGATTTGCGACAGCTCCGTCATCGCATGTCCTACGAACAACTCCAGGAATCAGGACAGCTATATATCGCCGGTTCAACTCACTCCACTTTTCATATTCCTGGCAAATTATACACAGCTCCAGCGACAGTTAGGCTATGGCTTCCGTGACCCCGTCCCCCACCATCCTCGTACCCCACCTCCCACCGAAGACACTGGTCGGCATCGACCTCATTACCTTCACATCAACGCCGAATTTCCATGGAATCCGCGATTTACCGACTGGATGGCATTTCCTCTACACAGGAGCAACAGAAAGTTTGTCGTTGAGAAGTGGCGGATGGTTTTACGTCGGCGATATCAGCGCAGCCGGATCCACGAACGAGGGTGCTCTGATCCCAGCTCCACTAGGGAATCTAGGACGCGATGTGATTATATGGAAATGGGATACAGACACCGAAACGCTGGCTCCCCTACGTGCCAGTGATGACGCAGATAAGCAGGAGGCAATGCGCCATAAGGCGAACTTGGCTGCCGTTTGGCAGAGTGGAGGATTATTCCGCTACCGCAGTCGCGTACCGCTTTCATCTGAGGGCCGAGTTCAGTCGCGGGATGTCGACGATGACGATTATGAAGAGGAAGGTCGACAAGACTGGGAGGGCCTTACGAACCGGCTGTCTCCCAGGCTTTTGAAGCGTATTATTGGGAACCCTGAGATAGATGTCGACGGTCGGCCTCGATGGATGGTTACATCGGCGAGTACGGCGCAGAAAGATAGCGAGAATATACCCGGTATTCCTGAACCGGGTCAGGACTCTGATAGACTAGCGGATGTCATCGGGGAGCAGGAGAGCGAGTTTTCTTTCCTTCATATTGATCTTAAGAAGACTTGGAGGGAAGGGGCTATTGGACGTGAGAGGACAGAGGCTGCCCAGGACCGTTCGTGGGCGCTAGGAGATCTCGTACAACAGGTTTCCAATGCAGACCAGGGAACGAGCAAGATTGATGAGCAGCTTGGGGAAGCACAGGTCCTGGGTGAACTACAATTTACCTTCTTGATGGTCTTGACGTTGATGAACTTCTCGTGTCTTCAGCAGTGGAAGAGGCTACTGGGTTTAATACTTACGTGTCAAAGAGCCATAAAAGAGAGGGAGCAGTTCATCAGTAACGTGCTACGGTTGTTATTGCTACAGCTTCGGCGATGCGATGATATTGAAGGAGGGTTCTTTGATCTCGACGGGGAAGAAGGTGGGGAGTTCCTACGAAAGCTGCTCATGAAATTTAGAACATCACTCTATGAGGTCATCGAGGATGCTGGGACCTTGGTGAAGGAAGATTTTAAGGAGCTGGAGACTTGGGTGAAGAATGAATACAATTGGGAGCTCAATCATGGGGCTTTTGTACGGCGAGGCATGCTTCAGCTGGAGGATGGAGAACAGGTTGAAATGGACATGCCTGACGATGAAGACGATGAGATGGGAGAGTATGCCCCTGTTGTGGTAGATCTGGGCGAAGGCAACACAATGTAAGATAGGCAATGATATTGAAATGTGTTGATTGAAACTAGGTAGTATCAATTCCGAGACATTGTTATTTTCTCTCATCACTGGCAAACTGGATTGTGGAAGCAAAGACAAAGACATAAAAAAGAACGCTCAATTGAAATCTATGATCTATGCAAGGAGCTTTGACCCCGTGACATGCAGGCCATCAGGTTATGTACAATGCAACCAACCCCACCTCAACCTCTCATTACCGTATTCATCATCAGAACTTTTTATTCTCCCTTATTTTTCACTCTCTCCCTCAATGATGTAAGACCATTCATCATTCTCCTTGCCATCCTTGCCGTACATGATGGCCTCCAACCAAGACTTGATCTGGGCTGCATATCCTGCACGGGCTGCACCAGCTTCCAGCATGTCCATATCGACGTCACCATTCCGGATAAGCCTAACTGGCGTAACAAAGAACTGCCCTATTGTTAGCATGCCATTGCTAAGAATGGTTGATGTAGTGTAACTTACGGCAGTGCCACAAACGAAAGCTTCGATGATGCGGCCCTCCTTCCAAGCCTGTTCGACCTCGCCAATAGTGAAGTCCCTTTCAACAACCTCAACCGGGGCAAGGGAGCCAGTAGGCTTTGACAGCTCTGAGCGTGCAAGTTGGAGAACACTACGGCGAGTAACACCTGGAAGGATCAACTGGTTGTCCAGGGGTGCGGTGACAAGCTCGATCTTTCCTGTTTCCTTGTTCTCCCAAACAATGAAGAAGTTACTAGCACCGGCCTCAGTCACTTGACGGTCCTGACCAAACAGCCAAAGAATCTGATCAAAGCCAGTAGCTTGAGCTTTACCGTGTGCGACCAACGAAGGACCGTAGTTCGCTCCGAGCTTTGCATAGCCGAAGCCACCTGGCCAGGCACGGATAGTATCGGGTGAAGAGGCAAGAAGCTTCAATCCGGGTTTGGTGCCTTCTTCGGGCTTCTTCAACTTGGACGGGTCAGGCCATGGCACGGCGATGATGAAAAGAAGGGCTTCCTTGGGAGTCTGAACACCCAGATGAGGGCCGCTGCCGATCAATGTGGGACGGAGATAGAGGAAACGACCGGGTTGGTCCTTGGGGAGCCAACCTGTAGGTAGTTTGATTAGCAAGGGTAACAGTTACTAGCACGGGGTCACATACGGGGTCCATCGATCTGCATCAACTTAGCGATGAGAACCTTCAGCTCCTCATACCGGAAGCTGGGCAAAGAGGTTCTCTGAGCACTCATGAGCAATCTTTCCCCGTTGCAATCCGGGCGGAACAAACGCAGTTTGCCATCGAATCCTCTGTACACCTTCATCCCCTCAAAGCACTCGGTGGCATAGTGCAGGCAAGACGCTGTGGGAGGAATGCTCAGGTTCTCAAAGGGCTTCACTTCGGGGGTTTCCCAGCCATTGGCCACGGTCCACCGGGCAGTGACCATATGGTCAGTACAGTGCGAATGGCTCAGTTCCTCGGGCGAGCCCGGTTCAGGAACTGGGCGGAGATTTGTCGTCCGAGTGATCTTGACCACAGAGGCATCAAGCTCTGCCACAGAGTGTGCAACGGAACCCATGATGGATGTTTGTACAATTCAAGTGTCTGAACTTATGTTTGAGGAATGAAGATCTGGCGTGGGTACGGAATTATAAACCGTGTGGTGTGAGTCACGAAACACTCGTGCGCTTTTCTTGGGTGCGAGATCGGGGCAGGTCTCTGAAGTCTGCAGGCTGCGGACGATGCGTGATACAAATACTGATTGAAACGAGTATCTACAGGAGAGAAGAAATCAATGTCTCCAATGACTTCTCTTGGCTTCTTTTAAGGTTCGATGTCATAGGGCGCAAGAAAAGATTTTTTCCTTAGGCCCGACTCAATGTTTGGAACGTTGCCATCGATATCCGAGCTACCAGAAGACCTTTTGCCCCTGGGGCTGTCTGACAGGATTCGATTGCCATTGACTACTGGGTCCATACAACGAATTGTCGAATGAGACTGTCCTTTTGACCGCACTTGGTCCCTCCCCGCTATCTTCTGTTCACTTTTCTATGTGCAGAAAACGCTTGTATTACCATATCAATCGCTCCACCGCCTTTGCCCCTCTATCACGAAGCCGATGCTAACCGGAGGGCGGTGAATCACCGGATCGTTATCGGCCTGAATTGTCTCTACCTCTGAATGGGAATGTACAAGGTGGAGAGTATGGCGAATTTCAAGTTGGAAAGTGCAAATTGCTGACACTCAAGAAGTATGCACGGGGAGGCTTCGGGTGGCAAGGGCTGGAGGAAGTTGGAACGCCATCTAACGCCTTGGCATCATACCATCCCACGAATGGATCACATTCATGGTTGTGCGCTAAGATAAGAGATATTGCGACAGGGAACCAAGTTGCACTAAGGTCGCATACAGCTATGTCGCATTGATTTGGCATTGATCCCTCGGCCGCACTGACCGCTGAGTACTAACCAACCCATTATGACTGTGATAGAAAGTCGACACCACCCTTCCGTGCCATTTCTCAAAGTTAAGGTTTTCTTGGCAACAGTTTGGGTTAGAAACACAGGCCCATACAGATCATGGACTTTTTTATCTCAATATAGGGCAATGTCAATGACCTGAAATTGAGTGTTACTGAACAGACTTATAGAAACCTATGTAGAAAATAGCCATCGCACGAGGAAGAAGATACACCTCCCTTCTGGTTCATCAGTGCCGAAGTAACGAGGAACGTCCACCGGTTTACCTCCTTACACTTCTCCGCCAACTCCTCAAGGTCAAACAATACCCTGGTGGGCATCTCTCAGCCCGCTAGGAGATAATGATGTAGCATGACATCCGGATTACGTGGTGACCACACCTCAAACGATATACTATCACCTGCAACGACAGTAAAGGTTCCACACCGACCAGCTCAGGGACTGCCTTGGTAACGTATTCTGTCTTCTCAGCGAAAGACATCTTGTTGTCCCAGTCATGCGTGATTCCAGCACGCAAGAAAAGTAAGTCTCCTTTTTGGATAGTGCTATTGTATTCTTTGACAATATCTTGGATCTTGGCCAACTTGACCTCGTGAGAAGAGAAGCTGTTAAATACTATGCCTTTCTTATTAGAATAGGATGCATCGTCGGTAAGAATACCACGGCCTGTGCTGGTTCGCGATCCGTGTGTTAGCCAATCTATCATGCCGTATCATGTCCAGTCTTACCTGCAATGCCTTTTTGGGCCCAGAAATGGGTGCCAATAAGCTTGTTGGACTGGTCCTGGGCATATCCCTTTGCAAGGTGACTCGCTGCCTGGTCTTGATATCACGAGCGGCGGCATTGGCGACGCGTTCAGGTGTGATCAGAGATAAATCCCCCCCCTCTCCTCATACCTTCTTCCTCGCTACCTGGCTCTCCCACCCAGACCCGACAGGGATTCGGAAGCTCGTCAAATGGAAGATCGTAGAGGGGAGATGGGGAGGGAGCCATGGTAGAGCTGAACTGACTTATTCGGGTATTGCAGAAACAACCATGATTAGCAGAGTCCGATTTAGCTCTCTTAAAGCCCTTCACGTGTTCAATGGTATGTTTTCTCTGGATTCAATTAAATGGTAATCTATGATTTATAAATTCTAGTTGTTTTTGAGGCTATAGATAGACCATGTTGATCAACCAGTCATTAGGGCCTATGTTAATTGGCTTAGAGCGTTGCAGATTTACGGTTCTTACCTTAGGTTTGATCCGAGATACATAGACATCAGCGCACTCGACATAAGCTGAGACATCTTAAGGAAAACTATTATACCCTCGACCGTTTAACTCGGGGGGTAGAAGATTCTGTTTCTTGACCTGAGGTGATTATGGTTGGTTCAAGGCTAGAAGGTGACCAATTCAATCCTATAAAGTTTCCCTCTTTCTACTCTATAAAGGATACCTATGATTTACTACATAGTATATATATTGGTAGTAGGTTCACAGATACCTAAAAGACAGTACATGTGTTTATGTTGCATAATGTGTCACGGATAGATAGGAAACTCGCTGAAACATTAGTTTAGTATATTGTATGGCTAATGACTGGTAGGCTCTCCAAGACCTCAAGGAGGGCTCAATTGTAACCTAGATATCCATCCATCGAAATATCTCCGGGTGACCACTCTCAGTAACTCCGACACCCGAACGCCCGGTACCTGACCGACCAATAACGTCATGCGGAACCATATGACTAACGATTGATCGATAATCAAATCCGCAAGAAACTCGTTCACATAGCATTTGATTTCTACAAACACAACCTTGCCCTCTGGATTCCTTGGGTTCTGAGAATGTCTCGCTCGATGCTATCGTCTGCTGCCCGCCAGCTATGGCGGCAGCGATCCTCTCGCGCAGGAGTTCCAGCCTTCCCATCCTCAAAATCCCGTTCGGGCATCTCCGCATCGTTCAGTGATTCTATCCCCCGCCGGTCGATATCCTACGCCATCTGCGAGTCGAAGACATACCAAATCACTTCCCCACGGAGAATCCCCATCACAATCGTGCGTCTCCAACAGCGTTGCGCCTTTTCGTCTACCTCCATCAGACCCGCCACCAAGGTCTTACAGAACCCGAGAACCGGCGAGGATGGCAATCCACTAACGATTGAAATCTCGCCCCGCGCTGCAGAAGTACGTTCAGGTCGCTGTTTATCTGTTATATCTTTTGTTTCTTCTAAGTGTGGCGTGACTCGGCGTTGGGCTGGACGGGAGTAGCTCCTGATTGTGACAAATTGAGCCTGGAGTTTTGCGACTGAGCGGAGAGTGTACTAAACGCTTCGGCGCTAAAACTCCCAATCAATCGTCCAATAAGTACATACGACCATAGGGTGTGGAAAACAGGGCTTCCCGTCCGCTCAGCCGTACTTAAGCCACACGCCGGGAGGTTAGTAGTTGGGTGGGTGACC